TGGCTTTTAATGCTACCTGTCAAAATTCATTGGGCAACTGTTCCATCTGCCTCCTTAGTGCACTTTCTGTGAAAAGAAAATGTTTAAAAATCAATGGGAAAAAATACTGGAGGGATTCAAGTAGGAGGTGACATCTGGAACCCCTTTCATAAAATCTTCGGCTGGGATGGGTGATGACGCAGTGAAAACCTTGTGTGAAAGCATCTCTGAAGCTCTTGTCATCTTTCTTATATCCCAAACCTAACTTTCTGCCCTAATTGGAAAGCTTCATGCTAGCGATACCTGAAGCTCAAAAGTAGCAGACTTTTACATCTCAGCTGTCCACTTCTGGCCTTTCCTTCCTTCCTTCCTCCTTATTCAGCAAACTGTTAAGGAAGGAACAGATAGTTCATGCCAGCGGTCTGACTGGGTCACTCGCAGAAATGTTTCAAAATTGGGCTGAAGGTGCGTATGATCACGCACTTGGAAGATGCTCAGTCCAGGCACAATGTAATAGTTGGACTACAGTATTTGTGCAGTTTCTGGCAGTCGGAATTAATAAGAGTAATTCTCCAGCTTGTTAGCTCATAACTTCCTGTGGTACTTTGGAAGGGAAAGTAGAGAATGACGATTTGAGAAGTGAATTGCATTGCTGGATAACGCACATTTGGTCTAGTAACAAATATTGATACTGGCTGTGCATTTCCTGAAATGTATTATGAAAACTAAAGCAAAAAGGTTTGCAATATATGAAGATTGGAATTGATGTTTTAGACTGCACTGTAAAAGGAGATGATTAGCATATGGCAGAACTGGGGAATCTATGGCTTGCAATCTCCTTTTCTGTGGCCCTCTGCATCTTTAGTAACTGAAACCAGCAGCATTTTCCTGACTGGGAAACACATGGAAATTGTAGGGTGAGCCCTAAAATAAGCACATCTGAGTTGCAAAACAAAGAAAACATCTTTGGTCCCAGCCCCCTACCTGAGATGTGGTGTTACCTACTTTATGGAATCCGCCCAATATTAAATGTGGCTGTTGACCACCAAAAGATTACCCTTGCCTGGCCTATACAAATTGGCAAATTAAACAATCCATGCGTCGTGTTTATAAGCACTTCTCTTGATAATTGATTTTGATTATTTTGATTATCAAAATAAGGCAAATGCAATAATGCAAAAAACCCAGTCATTCCATTCAGTCTTTTTAGCTCTTTAAGAATTAATTTTATTATACTATTTTATTTTATACTACATCATTATAGTCCCTATAGTTACAACATTAATATCAATTTTCTTATAGATTTTAGTGATAATAATGATTTTATCTTTTATCTATTTTTATCTATTTTAAGTCATTATAGTTTCAGCCATATTCATAAACATTCACTATATTCACTTTCATGTTTAAAATTTCAAACTTTCTGTCTTAGTTGTATTGAAATCATGATTTTAGTTTTGTCTTAGCAGTCAAACATTTTAGTACATTCTTATGGTATGTACATTACAATATTATTTCAGTGGGACAGTTGTGATTTTACTTTTTAAACCTTTGTTTTGCTAGCCAATGAGCAAAATAAAGAAACTTGAATTTGCCTTCAGGAATTAAGCCCAAAGATCTAATTCCACAGCAAATCCAAGTTTATGGTAAATTCTGATTATTTCATAATTAGTTCCCTGTCTGTATGGGATGAGAGCTTGGTGTGCTATGGGACACCAATTTGCAATTTGAAGAGGTGCAACCCAGATTTTTAGAAGTTCTTTGTCTTTGCCTATCCGATATAGACTGCAGTTGATCAAGGCAGTAAAATATCTTTGCCAACATTAAAAAGTCTTCGGTCATATGAGGATGGGGAGGATGGGCTTGTTGTGTATGTCTTTCTCTCTTTTGTAAGTTCCATGTTTGCTGAGAGTCCTCCATCAATTGAAGGATAAGTTTGGGATTGACATTTAGCTTCCAAACCAAATCTGGACATCTGAAGAGTATCCATTGTCCACTTGTTAACCCAGAGGCAAGAGAAATGAAGGAATGGTGGTTGTGTAAATGAAAACAGTGAATAACCTGATCCAGCCCCTTCTTGTTTCTTCATAGTTCATAGTCCTCCTATAAAACTAGCTGTTGCACAGCTTTTGTGACCTTGCATACACATCTAAAAGGAGTGGGGCTTGCAGCACAACGGGGCAACCTTGCTTTTGTCATTTTGACAATAGCAGCAATACTGCAGAGCCCATGGCTGTCTTTGTTCGCTCCTTCTGAACTGTTTGATTTCTCTTTTTAAACTCTTTCTGGTTACTCCCCCTTTTTGAGGTGTGCTGTTGGGTGAACTGGTCAGATTCTGTCCAAGTTGTTGGAAGATTGAAAAAGAGCTGTTATTCCTGGGCTTCTGTTTTCATAGAGTGCTTGAATTGGAGACATTTTCTTTTTCATGATATTGGGGATGAAATTATCTTGTTTCAGAAGCATGAATGCTTGTCCTTCATGCCTATATTCTCTTGTTGCGACTGTTCCTTGGTCTTCTGTCACAGGCAGTTTGTGGCTCTTCGCAGCAGGGCAGAAAGCAATTCCCTGTGAACCAAAACACTTCACTTGTTTTTCATAGCAAGTTGATTTTCAAGCAAACTGTCACTGTAGCACTATGTTGAGTTATTAGCTTACCTGAAGAAGGTGGATGCTGTTCCATAGAAAATATAATTTTTCCTACTGCAGCTTCTTAATTCATTTCAGATTACATCTTGAAGTTAAAGATGTGTTAATTTTGAACTTTTTTCATTATTCTTACTACCTCAATTATACATCTCCAGTTCAGGGTGGATACTTCAAGTTTTGAGACAAAGTCACAGGTGCAATCAGAACATGGCTGTTGATTCATGAAATCACAGCTGTGATGTGGCTAATCATAAATTACCCATTTCATAGAATGGCAAAAGGCAGAAGGTCAAAAGACAAATAACATGTCAGGGATTTTGAAGAGAGGGCAGAGATTGGGCCAGATCTCAGAACAGAAGCCTACAGCTTGACCTTCTCCTTTCTTTTGCCACAGAAATCTATTCCACAGAAAGTCAGTTGTAAGACAAGCATCTGATCAAGGATCCTGGATGCAAGGCCCAGGAGATCTGCTTTTTTGAACTTCTGATTCAAATTGAGCTCCAAACTCTCTCAGCACAACGCCAGGACAGGAGATACATGCTTCTGTGTATTGTCTTACACATACAAATGCACGTGTACGCAGAAACAACTCTTTAAAAGGCACATCTCTGCTTGCTCCCTCCTTTCAGATTGGATATTCACACCTCCTAACTCCTGCAGGTGGACTCTGCAACCCTCTGATCTTAGATCTTCCCATTGTTTCCTCTTCAATTCTATGGGATTGTGCCCACCCACCCCTGGTCCCCCAACTTTCTTATCCCACTAGGTTGGGTTAATGCCAACCTTCTCCTACTGCTGTTTCCATTTCTAAGCAGAACTAGTGGGGCCTGTATCTTTCTCCCTTTTCCCCCCTATGTGGTTGAAAGAAAATAAATAATAATTTTCAGCAGGATACTTTGAGAATGCAAGGATAGGTGCCTGTGGACGTAATTGGCATACTTGGATGTCCATGGGCTGAGCAAGAGAGGAGGGCAGATGATGAAAAGTACACAGCAACATCACAGTGCAAACCCTGCCCCACTAATACTTGCATCATGACATTGCACACAAATACATAAGGGGCAAAGCTTGCACTGCAATATTGCATTGTACATTTTGTCATTTTGACAAAATCTCAATTTGTTACAAACGATCCTGTAGACGTAGTGGAGCATCGTGGTGCCTATCCCTGTCTAAACCATATGTTAACCAAGATACAGTCTTTGTGATAGTGTCCGTTATTTTTAATTCAATAACTTGCTTTCATAGCAATACAATAAACCACAAACAGTAAAGCTATTTGTGGCACCTGTCCCACCCATAGTTTTAATTTTTGGAATGTAATGGAGAGACATTTGGAAGCTTTTGGTCAGAGCAAGCGAACAAGAGGGCAGATAGAAAGAGGGGAGTTTTGTGAGGGAGTGTGTGAGTTAGTGGAGTTGAGTAGCTGCATTGAAGGAAGGTTGTTTTGCTAAGTGGGTGAGGCTATGTGGGTTTCCTGTAGCTGGATGGGTTCTGTCTTTGCCTGCTTGCTGAGCACGTGGTCTGAGGGAAAGGGGCTTACAGCTGCAGCTGACTCATGGATCAGATCATCAGCTAGCAGGTGGATTTGCTTCCTTGGCCAACAGTTCAGTCCCAGCTAGTGTCAGGCTTCCTGACCCAGTTTGGCAATAAATTACAGCTCTCTTGATACTTCATGGCTTTGCTCCACTCCTCAGCTTGCTTGGTTGAAAACTCTCAGACATACCGTGCCTAGATTAGACTCTTCAGTGCAGACAGGAATGAACCTGTGCAGAACAGCTGATTTGCCCATTGCTTGTGTTAAGATACGAGCAAAACCTTTTATGCTCGCTAGGGTTTAAACTTGTGGCCTTTTCCTTCTGCCCTTATGAATTAATGGATACTCGATGAAGGGCTTCGTAGCCTTGAAACTGAGCAGAAGTTGTATGTTTGCATAACAGCCAGCTCTCACCTGGGACCCACTGATTCCTCCTTCACCTGCTTCAACCCTTAATGTCAATACTCTTTGGAAAAAGAAAAGACAACTGTCAAAGGTTCACCTTGGACATGGCAATACATCTTTCTCTAGAAATGCAAATGGTCATGAGCTTAACAGCAGAAGATTCAAGGATGGGTTCGGATAAATTGTTTTGATAACGATGATTAGCTACTGCAGAATTTAGGAATCTTGCCTTATTTATATGGCTGCTCCAGAGCTTCAACTCTACATTTCTTTCTTCTTCCCTGATATGATAATGGACTTTTTGTTGCCTGTTTCTTAGCATGGGATGTTGAAGACACTTGTGGAGTATTTTAATATAGTCTTGACTGATCTCAGACTCTTTACTTCTGGTCTTACTGGTTTCAACCCTCCCAGTTGAGAACTTGCAGTCAAAATGAATGAACAGGAAGGCAAACAGCAACAGGAGTTTTATGAGAGGAATAGGGGGAGAAAGCTGATCATCCACCTTCCAGATATTAATCATCAAGGTGAGGTTAGCAACTGTATGAGGAACCAGGGTTCTAGACTTTGTAAAAATATAACATAGGGGCTGTATTTTAGGTCAAACAGCTTCTAAAGAAGAAGAATGCAAAGTTACTAGTAGTAATGAGTATATAAGCAGAAAGCTGTAACAAGAGTTAGTAGGAAAATAGAAAGGGGAGAAGGTGCTTTCCTAGAGTGTGAAATGTATGGCCATCTGCTTCTTCTGCACAGGTTATAGGTTTGTGTTTGGTACAGGGAGCACTAGCATCTGGCAAGTCCCTGAGGGTCCTTCTGCCAAGGAATTGTCATCTACAGCGATCTTCTTGTCAGCACTGTGGAATATCATTCCCTCCTTGTTATATTTTCAAAGAGATGTAAAATAGGAGGACTCCTGGGGATGAATGAAGACCATACTACCCTACGAAGTGTGACACGTTGGGTTGGACAGTATAGGATTGTTTTTTACCACTTTTGTCTATTTTTACTCTGTAAAAATATATTAGCCATGGAGTTAATTAGAGTGACAATGGAGCAGATGAATCAGTACGTTTGTATCCTTGAAACCATGGTGGTTGAACTAGAATATGTTTATATAGCCTAAGCAGTATGTAAACAAGAACTTCCAGGATGCAGTTAACTCAAACTTACTCCCAGGATGAGAGCTCTTATATTTCCAAGGAGAATGAGGGCCCTAAGGAAGCAGGACATCATTGTGAGGATAAGGGAGACACCTAATCCTTAGGTGACAAAGCCATGTCCTCTTGTACCAGGATATGTTTCAAGAGAGCAGAGGGCTTTTGATTCTAGATGATTCAGTCATTAGAAACACAGACAGGTGGGCATATGGTAGGTGTGTAAATTGCATGCATGTAAGACTTAACCTGCTAGAAGCTAGAAGAGAGGCAATCCTAGATTTAAACCTAAATGATGACAGTGATCTGATGTGAGATTTAATTGTTGTAAAACCAATAGTAGACCATAACACTATTACATTTAATATATGTGCAACTGGGAAATGCCAGTAGAGTCCAAGACAGTCATATCTGACTACAAAAGAGGAAATTTCTGAAAAATGAGAGGACTAATAGGAAAGAGAGAGAGAGAGATGGAAAGGGAAAGTCAAAAAGGCCAAATCTTTTCAGAGTACCTGGATGTTATTTAAAATCATGAGTACGGATTCAGTTTGAATGCATTACACAATGTAAGAAAGGGTGAACCAACCCTAGGAATAATCCATCATGACTTTGTAGGAGCATCCAAAATCAGTAGAAGAGAAGCTTCCTTCAGAAAATGGAAAGCCAATTGCAATGAAGAGAACAACAACAACAAATCTGGCAGAAAAAGTATAAGATAATGAAAAGCAAAATGAAGGCAGAGGAGGAGAAGAAACATCCTATAATTCTGTATTTCTATTATTATCATTTGATAAATCTGGCAGAAAAAGTATAAGATAATGAAAAGCAAAATGAAGGCAGAGGAGGAGAAGAAACATCCTATAATTCTGTATTTCTATTATTATCATTTGATAAATCTGGCAGAAAAAGTATAAGATAATGAAAAGCAAAATGAAGGCAGAGGAGGAGAAGAAACATCCTATAATTCTGTATTTCTATTATTATCATTTGATGAATGTATAACAAAAATTAAATGGAACAATAGGAACTTCTTTACATATATTCATGTTGAAAGCCACAAGGTAGTTGGGCAAAACAGTGAAAGGGGTGACACAGCATAGGACAGACAGCCTTTATGGACTTACTCAAGAAAGGAATCAGAACCTAAACAAATTGAAGTAACAAAAGAAGATATTCTAAGGCATCTTGAGAAACTAAACATTAACAATTCAACAGCCCCTGATGTCATCCATTCAAGGGTTCTTTCCCACTCAAATGGGAAATCGCTGAACTCTTAGCAAAAATATGTAAGCTGTCACTCAAATCAGTGCCAGAGGATTGGAGGGTGGCCAGTATGATGCCATAGTTTAAAAAAGAACCTGGGGAGAATTGGAAAATAATAAACCAGAGAGCTTAACATTTGTTCTAGGCAAAGTGACAGGAACAGTAATCAAAGAAGAAATGTAGGGGCAGAGTAGAAAAGACCTTGCTGAATAAAAATTGGCATAGAGTCTACGAAGGTAAATCCCACCTCATCACCATTCTGGGACTGATGGACAGTGTTGATAGTCCCATGGATATAGGCCATCTTCTTAAAATTCCTGAATTTTCAAAAAAGGTTTAACCCGGTTCCTCATCCAAGGCTCTTGAGTAAACTTAGCAGTCGTGGGATAAGAGGAGGACTGCTAAGTGGTTAAAAAACAAGAAAGCAAAGAATAGGAATAAGTGGGTTATTTTCTCAAAGGAAAGAAGTAGAAGCAGAGTCCCTCAGTACCTGTATTGGGAGTGGTGCTTTTTAGGTTGGTCAGAAATGATTTTGACTTAGGTATAAGGAGTGAGATGCCCAGGTTTGTGGATGAAATGAACTATTCAGGGTGGTAAAATCCAGAAGGGCTTGTGAACAGCTCCAGAAGGATTTCTTTGAAATGGGTGAATGGTGAATCAAATGGCAAATGTATTTTAATTTAAGAAAGTGTAAAGTGGTGCATGTACAGGCAAAAAAAGCCTAATTTCACATATGCATGGACAGAATGTAAACTGACTGTCCCTAATCGGGAAAAAAACATCTTGAGGACATAGTGGACAACTCAGTGACAATATTGGCTCAGTGTGGCCAATGTGAAAATGCTAAATTGCATGGTAGGGATCATTATGAAAGCAACTGAAAATAAAATTGCCAATATTGTTATGCTGTTAGACAATTATATGATATATCTCATTGGTAGCAATGTGTATAGTTCTGGTTGCCACATTTGAAAAAGGACGTAGCTGAGCTAGAAAAAGGACAGAAGAGGAAAATCGAAAAGGTCATGAAACTCGAATCCCTTCCTTTTAAGAAAAGGCTAAAGTGTTTGTGATGTTTTAGCTTGGAAAAAAGGTGGTGCCGAGCATCTCAGCTCTCTAAAATGCAAGTATATTTAAAGTATTTTTAGGTGTTTCTGTATTTTGGTTTCTGGCATTGGTTTTAAGTGTGGAGGAATTCCATGTGGTATTACTGTATTTAGTATGCAGGGGTTCCTTCTCCTAGCAAATAAGTACCATATTGTAACTTTAGTGCAATAAACAAGTTCATAAATAAATAAGTTTATCTTACAAAAAGGTAGACTAGTGACTCAGTGAATTCAAGACAGTCCCAAGAGTGTCTGGCTGTTTAAGTCAATATTCACATTTTTGAAGTGAATAGAGATTTTTTGGGGTGGGGGGAGTGTTGATTTGAATTTCTGACACGGCTGCTAGCAGTGGCTTTATTGGTGAAGGGATATGCACTGTCGATTCACTTCCTTTCAGCCAGACTGTGCCTAGCAAAGATGAAGAAATGCCAGGGTATGTTTGTAAATGAATTTCTGCAGATTGATCTTGCCTGTGGTTATTTCCATTCTCCCCAGTCACTGGAAGTAAACCTGATTTGCCCTAACTGAATATTGTGGTGCTGTGTCACTCGCATTGCTTGGAGAGAGGCCAGTTTTATTTCAGTAGGTGGCTTTCTGGTCCTGACATTCTGTTTTGAAACAGTTTGTGTTGGAGGCAGAAGGCTGATTGTTATACTCTTGAATTAAAGCTTAGGCAGCTAAAAAATGAGGGGAGTAACATTATCCAATATAGGCAAGGAAGGAGGCTTTGGCTGTAGCTTGGACAGATAAAAGAGAAATGAAGATGGAAGTGGAATTTCACATTTGAGTTTCTTTTTCCAAAAAACCCCTAGTTACTTGTTTCTGATTCCTTTGAATTTCATTATGAAGTTGTTTTCTTCCCCCCAAGAAAATGGTGGTTATAATTGCATCCCAGGCAGGACTTTAAATTTTAGCAGATATTTATGTAGATGAATGGTGATAACTGTAATTTATTAAAAACTGGGTTCACGTATTTTGGAAAACTGTTCATATATATTTTTCTTTTATTTTGGAAGTTATTAACAAAATCTCTGTTTTCTTCTGTTCTTTTAGCTCCAGTGATTAACCGGTTCACTAGACGAGCATCAGGTCAGTTTCCTAAATTTAAATGTGCTATCAATTGATTACTGAAACGTTATTATTTGTCATTTAATATAATGTTCTTATTGTATATCAGAGTGCTAATATTGCCTTCTTTTTATAATGGGATTATCTGTTGCACATTTTTCTAAAAAGAAAAAAATCAAAATTTTGCATTTTATAAATATAAAGAGGAGACTTTCTGCATCTGAGCAGCATTAAGAGTTTTGAATTTGCTTCAGGCACACTCTTTGTCTTGTTATGTGTGCACCTCTGTATAACAAAAAATTATATTCACAAATGGGTGCACACAGGCCATTTCCCTTGAGGATGCAGACATAAGCCTACCACAACTTTCTTCTTCAGACAATTTATTATTTATTGTTTGATTCGTATCCTGGCTTTTCTTCAGGCGCTCAAACTATCATACTTATTTTTTTCCCACAACAACTCTTCGAGGTAGGTTGGGCTGAGAAAGCGTGACTGGCTTAAAGTCACCCTGTGTCAGCCCCACTAGGGAGACCAGACCGGGATATCAACTCCACAGGAAGGCTCAAACTACTTTTATTGAGATTGGCTAAAATAACAGAACATTGCAAGTCTGATTGTGTTGTACCTCCTCCCCCTTCTTATGCTCCATTGAATCAGGGAGGTGCCTGCCTGAACTGATTTCAAATGTTATCTCATTTATCAGGACTCAAAAAATGTTTCATCCCTTTTTGCCTAGGTAATGGGTCTTGCATATTTCCATCAAGACCATCATATTAATTAATTAATTAATTAATTAATTAATTAATTCTTCATTTCATTTCATTATATATTTTTGCTATTCCTAGAGCGTGAAAAACCCATCTTTGTTCAGAACTAAGTTCCAAGTAGTAGGTATATAATTTAATACAATGTGCATGTCTTTAAAAACCAAATTTTTCCCAATAGCTCTGTCAAGATAATGCATAATTACTCCAAAAGGAATATAAAGAAGAACGTGACCATAAGATATGGGTTAAAGTGTCCTCAAATCTCTTGCAATGCCATCTTCCTTACACTCTACACCCAGGGAGTTCCATGGTTAAAGATGCCTTAGAACCTGGGTGTCTCTGCTCCGAGGTCCATCACCTTCAGCCCTACTGCACACTGGCTCTCAATTGTTGTATGGCAGTCAACCTCTAGCACAGTGTTTCTCAAACTTGGCAACTTTAAGACGTGTGGACTTCAACTCCCAGAATTCCCCAGCCGGCATGGAGAAAAACACTTTTCCAGCAGGACAAAACTTTCTAACATAGAGGTCAGATTTTTCCTCGATTTTAGATGGAAACCTTGCCATGCAACAAATATTAAAGTGTTTGTGTTTGTATTTAAATCCTGCAAAACCTTGGCCTTGTCATTTTCTGTGAGGTTTGCTATTGAAGACTCCCACTTTTGAGTCTAAAAGTGGTGTAACAGACAGCTCTGTGTGGGATTATCTTGAAAGAAAGCTCATATTTTATTTATGTGTGTCATTTAATCCCTTTCATCATGGCCTCTAGGTCTTTCCAAAGCAAGCCAAACAGAGCAGTTGGTCAACCAACAATTTTAAGACTACAAGCTATTAAAATAATATAATAAATGACATTAAATGATGTCTGAATAATAGCAGCAGATTAAACCCATGACCAAAATTCACTACTGTAAAATCATCTAGAAACAGCTTTTGCAGAGGACCTCATGCACAGCCAGATCTGCTTCCTTTGTTCAATTTTTTTACAGCTTGAACTGGGAATAGCATTCGTTTTTAAATTACAATGAAGGCGGCGTTTGACCAGAATCAAGTAAATCTTGAGAGATCCAATTTCAAATTGGAATGGGGAAAGCAATATTCCAAACTTCTGCTAAATTCTTGGTTGGGACTAATCCACAGACACCTCCTGAGTAGGTTTTAAAAAAGATTCCCGAATCTGGAACTGAGTCTCCTTCTGTCTTCAAAACCTATTACTAGCCAGTATTATTGTGATCGAATGTTTTGGACTGTTCTTTTTCTTTATTAGATTCATGTTTAAGGATGGCCTGCTTCATCTTGGCAGAACGACCAATTAAATAGCCAGAGGTTAATTGTAGAAGCACCTGCTGACAATAATATGGGGTATTAATTATTTAGCAGATAATCCAGCCAACATGCTGTGACTATTAACAGTTTTTTTTATTCTACATAGCCATAATTGGGCACAGCAGCTGTGATGGCACAGTTCCACGCAAATCAATCCTTGTCACATCTTTATCTTTCACCCAGGATGCTTCCTTTTCAGCAGCACCCTTGCCAACCTCCCCCCCCCCCATGCTTATTAAATTCAGGGGAGTAAAAATGTGCGGAGGGGGATAGTGAAGGTTGGTCAATAGAGAAATGTTTCAAACTATGCTGTTGTCCTGGCCTCCTGGGTCCCTCCCTCTCTCAAAGATTTTTCAATGGGCAGCCAAGTCATTCACATACATTAAAAAATGTTGCCGAGCAAAGGATTCAGCTTGATGCTGTCTTCACAAACATGCCACCTTCTGGTGAAGATGGTTAAGAGATCAAGTTGGGAGATGCTTTGTTTTTTTAGCTGTGGTCTGAATGATCGATCCTGATTATGGGGAACGCTGAATCGGGTTCTCAATATGTTCAGTTTTGAAGTAGGTTGAAAAAAGACCTAGTTCAGGGGCAGGCTTGATTATTAGCCAGCTATGTTGGCAGGGTATGTGTCACAATCTTCAAAATGGCAGACATGGCATTGTGATGGAAGTTCTCTCGCATTTGCAGTTGCCTGTACACACAAAAGGGGCAGGGCTCAGTCACAATGCTCCACCTACCATCTTGCAGACTTTTGCCCATCCCCTGCTGGCATCCATGCCATCAGCTGTTGTCAAGACTGGTATTGTCTGAATCATAGTTTAGATTTATCAGAGGAAGGACAGAATGAATTATCATTTATGTTAGAAGAAACTCAGAGGAAGTATAAGTATTGTCATTCTCTGCTCACCGTCTTTTAGCGATGGTTAGGAATTGGAATTGTTACATCAAGTTGGGTAGATGTATACATTTCTGACAAACACGATAATTTGCCTAGGTTTCCATCCGTGCCTATACAACTGAATCAAGGAAGAATCAGTAATTCACTTAATTAAATAACCTTGGTAGATTTCTCTTCTTGTATCCAGAGGTAAAGATAGAAAAGCATTGTCTACCTGTCATCCTTTTAATGCGTTTTTTAGTACATTGTCTTGTGAAAATTCTAAATACGGTAGCTGAAGTTGGAGCGATTGAATGAATTACACAGATTAGAGGTATCAGATGAGACTGGTCAACTGTTAGGGAGGGTGGTTTTTGTCCTGAAAATAATAGTCCAGGTCAGTTAGCAAGTTGGTACCTCAAGATGTATTTCTGTAGTGAAAGTTGAAAAGGTATCTTGATTGGTTTAGTCCCAGATGTCTCACTCTGCAAGTGAGAAAGGATGTAGGGGTATCTGCAGGAGAGGTCAGAAAGATCAAGGTGGTGGCCATATGGTTGAAGCCTCATCCCTCTTTTATTCACTGCGCACATAAAAAGGAGGTGGGGCTTCAATTGCATGGCTGTGTCAGCCATATTGATTTTTTAGACCTCCTGTCAGGTGCCCTAAAAGATTGGAATAACTTGTATTTCTCCTTGCAATATATTAATGGCAGTAAGTGAAATCTTGCACAGCTGGAAGAGTCTCTTTCTCTCTCCTCTTCTATTTAACTAATGGAAATTATGAAAAAAAAAATCTAACCAGGACGAGAGCTAATAGTTTTTAGGAAAAGCTTTGAAAGCAAAACAAACATGAAATGGAAGCCAGAATTTCTAATTTGATGAATATGGCTGCTATTTTTCACCAGCATTAAATTTGTGAGTATGCTTCAGTAGCGTTCGGCAATTTGTTTCATCAGTGTTGAAATGCTATTAGATTATAACTATTGGAATGTCTGCCTTGGTAAATATTTGCATTTATTTCAGCTTCATTCAGATAATCATCTAAAACCTGGAGTTTGAACTGTTGCTACAGACACTTGAGTTTCTATTTTTTAATGCATATCTTTCAAATTGATGCTATAAGTATGACCCAGAGGTTTGTGTCAAAAGATTTTTTGGGGGCACAGTACTTCCAACTACACTTATAGAAACAGAAGCCCTTGCTTTTCATGTGTTTTGGGCTGCTCATGCTATTTTTGATGAGAAGTATGTTTTAAACTCGTAAAAAATCATTTCTCCACCTCTGAACATCCTTTAGGGAACAGGTTATATAAACTGGACTATAATTCAGAAATTAACCCATGTGTATTATCTGGAAGTCCTCAGCTTCTAGATTCAAGAGATTTAGGTAATAGAAGAGCTGCGAAAACAAATCCTTTCTGTGAAATAGGGGATGTTGGCCCCAAAAGTATGATCAAAGCTCTACTTGTTTTTTTAAGGACATTGATCACACCGTTGTGACCACCATCTTGACTTTTTTGACCACACCCTGCTGACACCCCTGCTGAGAAAGCAGCAGTCATTAATAGCATAGACTGTCCTGGTATACATCCATCAATGATCTTATTTACTACAAAGCAGGAATAGTTCATTTTAGCATGTGTCCATATGTACCATAAAATTATTTGGATTATGGGTTTTTTGGTGCCAGAGTAGAGGAATCTAAGAAGAACATATGGTAGAAGATGAAGAACTGAAATAGTGTTAATATCTCAAGAGTTTAATGTACTGAATAAAACAAAGAACAATTAATATTCAGCAATAGGGAGAACACATTAGAGTAATTTAAGTAGGACTTTTCAAATTAGGTAAAATATATTCTGTACAGAAATAGAATTTTATCTCTAGAGAAAGAATGTAATATGCTTGTGTGACACGTACAAGAAAAAAATGAAGTGAGTATTTTGGAAAAAAAAAAGAATCTTTTACATTTACATCTTTCTTGGCTGTGGAAGCTTGGTAACTACTTCTATCCAAGTTCCAGATATTTTTAACAAACAGGGGTTTT